TACCTTTTTGAGTTTATTTGTTTAAACCTATACCACGAGTCTTTTTTTATTGTAGTTATAAACAAAACCAATTGGAATGAACGCGTTTTAATTATACCAAATACCAATAGATAATAATTTGTAGACGTTTAGAAGATTATGGGATTCTATTTTGTTTTAGAAAAATAAAATAAATAAATAAACAAATATTAACTATTTCGAATTATTTAATATTTGTTTATATATATATATATATATAAATGGACCAAGAAAAATGTATACTAACGCATAAATTGAGAACGCCTGGACCGATTTGACTCAAAATTTCTTTCAGTTGTCGGTAATTCCGGTGGGAAGGTTGAAAGAAATTTTTGAGAAAATCCGCGAAAATCTTGCAAAAATTAATTTAAAGAAACGGCTGGGCCGATTTGACTTAAAATTGCTGTTAGTAGTCTGTAATTGAAGTGCAAAGGTTTTAATGAAAGAACATTTTGAGAAAAATCTACGAAAATGTTGCAAAATATATTTTGAAAAATATTAGCATTTCCACACATTTTATATCGAACCTTTATGGTTTAATCTTTTTGGACATATATTTGGCGAAAATGGGCAGCGTATATCTTTATGTAATTGTCAACTATGGAAAATTCTCAAAATATGTTAATTTTCCCCAATTAATTGAATTGTCATTGCCTTGAAAAAAATATTGTATATGAAAATAAATTAATATTTTCATTAGAGTTAAATTTAATAATAAGAAATATATAAGTTCTACCAAATTATAAACTGTTATGTGCTTGGGTCTGCACTGGGGTACCAGTTAATACTTTTTATTGAAATATGGCAAAGGTTTTTTTTACCAACATTATATTGATGCAATATTGACAAGGCAAAACAACGTTTGCTGGGTCAGCTAACTTGTATATATATTAAGACGGGCCAAAGGTGTTGTCGATTAAATTTAGCCCCTAGGATGATTCTATGGACAGTTCTAAGCAATTTTGGAGAAGGAAACATGGGTCTATATCGATTTTCGAGACTCCCACTTTTTTCCCTATAATATCATTTTAATTCAAAATTCGATTTTTTAATCAATTTTACTGATTTGTACAATCGGGACAACATTTTGTATAGCCTACCGATTTGAGTTTAGAATAACATCTGTTAAGATTTTTTACTTGAAATCGGTTCAGTTTTAGATATAGCTCCCATATATAGTTTCATCCGATTTCTGGTAAACGATTCTCCAAACTCCTAAAGTTGGTCCGATTGAGACAAAATTTTGCACATCGTACATAATTGAGTTTCCGATTTCTGATAAACGATTCTGCATACTCCCAAAGTTTGTCCGATTGAAACAAAATTTTGCACATCGTACATAAGTCCTGATTTATATTAGGCGAGTTTACATGCGGCAATTTTTATCGTTGTCTTTTGAACTTGCTTCATGCGTCTATACAAGGAAATTCGGTTTCCAAAATATTTTTTTTATTTGTTGTTTTTTTCACATTTAAATATATATAAAATGTCAACAAATACGAAATACACAAAACGAATTGCCAAACAATTGTCGGTACGAGCAATTTTTTCATTTCTATTCCCCTTGCCCCTCTCTCCTACAAACAAAGACTTGCCGCAAGTAAACTCGCCAAATCTAAATCGGGACTAATTCACTTTTAAATTACAATTGTTGAATTTTTATTTAAATCGGTTTAGATTTATATTTAGTTCCGATATTAATTTTTCTCCTCCTAGTTGTCCGATTGAAATGAAATTTTACAAAAAGTAGGTGTAGGATTTCATAAAGTCGAACATTGCTGGTTTTTGTAGAACTCTTTATTGTCCATAAGTACATTTCCTATAAAAAATCGTATTCGATAAAAAAAAAGTATTTGTTCTTCCTGTATACAATTGCACAATTGAAGTGCACAACCAGAAGTTAGTTTTATTTTATTTTTATCATTTCAGGGTACAATTGCACTAACCATCTTTATATAAACATTGTCGAGTATTTGTTTAAATATTTACAATCGGCGTGTTTGGTTTTACAGCTTAAGTATTTGATAATTAATTTCAAAAAAAAAAAAAAAAAAAACAAAGGCAATTTTGTTCATAGATTACATCAAATTACATATGGACATACGTCATTTATTGGACATTTAATGAACGGAAATGGACAATATAAATTACGCGATTTAATTCTATTTTTGATGTAAATATGTATATAGAATTTATTTTTAACATGTATTTATTTCTCCTTAGTATTTATTGTTATGATTTATATACATAGGTGGTTAGTTTTGGACAATCTCGATCAGTACAGTGATCGAACGAACTAGGCATTTTTTTAAATTGAACTATGTCGTTCATCTCGTTCAGTTGCTTTATATCGTTCAAATGATCACGCAGTTCAATTGGTATTGCATTTAAACTTCCTGTTCCATCAACAGCAAATAATGATGACCTTTCCCAACCAGTCGTAGAACTTGACTATCTACTTTCTGCACTCCGTTATATTCGATTGCATATTTGTGTGCACCTGTGCAACTTCTTCCGGAGTTTCCAGCTTCCTTCTACCGGCTGTCTTTGGGAGCCAATTAAATCAAATGGGTGCTATCCTTTTAAATGTCGTTTCAAATTATTTACTGTCCCCCTAGCTATGCTTGAAACACGACTGCTGTATTTTGTCTTTTGAACACCGCAATGGACTAATTTTCCGAGTGTCTTTTTTCAATTTATCAGATTTTTCATGAAGTTGATCTTGTTCGACGTCGTTCAGTTGGTCAAAGCCAAAGCACCCCTGAACGACACTGAAGATGTAGAATAAAAAAATCTGTGTAGTTTAGTGAGCAACGTCGTTCAGTGACCGACAACATTTGGTAAAAAAATCGTTCTATGAACCATAAACATTGAACTATGTCGTTTACTCGTTCAGTGGACTGACTCGTTCAATTGAACGAGACTATAAGTGGTTCTCTAGGGATCTGTAATGGATGGGCTACGATTGACAAGGAGTGCGATTGTCGCCTGTAGAACAAATGCCGAATGTTACATGCGTGTAGTTTTTAGTAATATATTCTCTCCACCTATCACACCACTTTTTGGAGAAAACGCCTATAATTCAATAAAAAATATTTAAACATTTTTAATCTTTTATTAATTTTATTGTTTTTTTTCTGTTGTCTGTTGACTACAAAATTTAACACCTCTACTAGTCAGGGCCAATTAAAAGGAATTTTTGCAAAATAAACTTGACATAGGTACAATAATTGATACACATACTGCTGTACTCCAAATGTTCTCTCTTTCATCTAATCTAATCAATATTTATGATTGCCCTATGTTTTAATGCCCACGGAACTCTAAACGTATATTTGCACCCACGGAAAAAAAATCCGGGACAGGTGTTCAGGAGAAGTATAACTGCTCGTGCCAACGGTAATCTATCATTTTATCGGCCAACTTGAAGGTTATTGGGTTTGTGCTGTCAAAATTATCATTCATTGCGTACATTTGTTGTAATTTTATGCGTAATTTTGTTGTCGTAATGTTTTGAAAAGATATTTGTTTCACGTTCGTTATTTACACTGTAAGGACATACAGCAAATTCGAATATATTCTATATATATATATATATATATATATAAAAGACAATTATTATCTCATCGTTGTTGTCAGCTATTAATAGAAGCTGTGGCGCCGGGACACATATACAGTTAGATGATGAAACCAACATTCCAGGAAAAGTTAGTTTGTTTTCATATTTTTTTCGCTTTGATATACTTTAAAGAAAATGAATTTGTATTCGCAAGGTCGTCAATGATATGATAATGATGGGAAGGTTTAGTGGTCAGTATACCATTTCAAACGTTGTGCGGAATTCAGAAACGAAGCCCCATAGAGTGAACCATGGAGTTGTCCAAGCTTTGGTGATTTCTCTGGAACTGTGCGGTATAGAGATTGTTGTAATGTATACGGATAATTGTATGATCATGGCGTTGGGTCCTATTATTGATGACATATGTGGGATGATAAACGTCTACACAGCTCACCATGTACATATCTTTCATCTGATGTATATGAAAATATTAGCCATTAAATCTACAGCCACACTGTTCAAAGCTTGGAGGGCTGAAATTAAGCTCTGCTTATCATTATGGTCAATAGAGAACAGATTCAGACCACCAAACTATTCCAAGATATTGAGTGTAACATTCGACAGTCTTTTCAAGGATAATAAAGTCTCCTTCCTCTTATACAGCATTAATCCAATCAGTGTTAAGCTTTGTATTGTGCGGACCTGTCAGAATGTCGCCATAAGAACTATGTCCCCTCCTGCTACCAGCAAACTTCAGAAACAGCTGATATCAAGCTGGTCTCACTGGATGACTTTATTAATAGGCCTTGAATTCAACGATTCAATAAACACATACAAACTCACATTCCGGGAACTAAACTAATCAAGATCTATAAATAAGGCCATACAGGGAGACCAAATGAGTGTCAGCTGTCTCTCAAGTTTGCTGTCAAAATGCATTATTGTGAATTGTCTTCCCTTATAAAAATGTAAACAAAGTCCAAATTTTTGACATTAGACTTGAGAGAAAACAGCTGACTTTCGCTAGCTGGTTGACCTCATTAATAGATCATGCAACTAATTTTACATTTATCTAACGTAACAATAGTTTCCAATAAATTCTATTCATTATCAATATAATGGCTTACATTGACCTATTTGTGGTCATCAAATTCTGAACAACTATCATGGTACAACAACTATGCATTGTTTTAGGACACTAATTTACGGATATTACGTTTTATAAAAACTCTACTTAACCCTTTAGTATCATCTCAAAAAAAAAAAAAAAAAATAAATAATTTTTAAAAATTTGTTCTCATATTTTTTTGCATCTTTTTTCATTACAGTTATATCCTAAATTAACACACTAGTCATAAATTACCCAATTTAAGAAGGCCGTACAAACAAACAACTTCCCCGCCGCTCTCTCTAAAATCCCCTGCTTTCCACACTACATGGCAAAATGGCACATATAGGAAATTGGGAAAAATTCAAATTGTTAACATGGAAAAATTGGCTACTACAATGGCATCACAAAATTCAATTTGTGATCGAAATATTGGCGCCTGTGGTATTCGCATTGCTGATGGTGTTGGTGCGAATGCTGGTTGTGGCCGAACCGAAAGATCTTAGCATATATCCACCACAAAATATCGATAATATTGATTTATTTAAGTAAGTATGCAGTTAAATAAATAACAAAATTACAAATAATGTATTTATAAAAACAACAATTTAATTTTACGTATTGGGAGTTTAAAAAAGCAATATAAAAAATTATAAGAACCAAAAAAAAAAATCATAATAATAATCTCCTCCAAATTTTATGTGTTTAAAGGAATACAGTAGTACGTTCTACAGTAAAGCGTAATCTCTTAAAGACTGCTTTAACCAGAGACAGGTAATCTTGATTTTAATCACTTCAATGTAGACTGCATGTGTGTGTGCGATTTCTGCCCCACCCCGCCTCCAAAGAATCTTTTAATTTTCAGTACATTCCCCGTTCTAATCTATTACTAATTAATTCACTGGCTTTTTTTTATTAAGTTTCACAAACCAAACATTTACATAAATATACAACATGCAAACAAATTGAATAACCTGCCAATTGTATTTCGCTTCTCCTTAAAATTAGAAAACAAAAATTAATACAACCCATCAGGGTGGTTTTGATAAAAATGTTTAACTTTTAAAATTCCACATACCATTTTATATCATATTTACATTTTAACTAAGCAGAACTAATTAAATTTTAAATCCACTCATTATCCTGTGCGGAAACGAGATAATTTCAAATACAACATCGTTTTCACACACAAAAATCCAACAAATTTCCTAAAACTTACCAATATGTCGTTTGTTTTTTTTTTCAAAATCGTTGCCAAACTCGTTATATCAAAAGATGGAACGAAGTTATTGTTTATCTCCAAGAAAATCGAAAATGGGCAGAGATCTAAATATACAATAGGTTCGTTCGTTTACTCAATAATTTGTACGAATTTGTACAAATTATTACAAAATGTTGCTCGTTTACCCAAAAGTCCAGTAAAAGAGAGTGAATTGAGAGAGCAGATTTGACAGTTGTGTTACTGAGTATTTGCAAATTCTTACAAGGAAAATTTACTCAGTAAAAATTTTCTTGTACCATCAGCTGATATTTAATCAGCTGTTTTGTTATGTTTTGTAAACAAACAATGAAATTGTTATCAAGCAAATTGATTCTTTTGTGAATTTTATTTTGATTTTGTATCATTAAACAGGAAAATGGATGAAGAAAACGCATGTATTTATAAAAAATCTAAAATGTTCCCTTGTTATCAATTTTTCTAATAAAAATGCTGTTTTTTAGTTTGCGCCAATTTGTTTGTTGTTTTAATCAGCTGTGTCGAAACAATCTTTTTACTGGATGTTGTTCGTTTACTTTTTGCCGTTTTCTCTCTTGAGAAGGAAAAATTCGTATTTACTCTCGGCAAATTCTTACTGAGTAAATATTACTGGGAAAGTAAACGAACGAACCTAATGTTATAACTAAAACAGAGGATTTGACAATTATAGGTTCGTTCGTTTACTTTCCCAGTAATATTTACTCAGTAAGAATTTGCAGAGAGTAAATACGAATTTTTCCTTCTCAAGAGAGAAAACTGCAAAAAGTAAACGAACAACATCCAGTAAAAATATTGTTTCGACACAGCTGATTAAAACAACAAACAAATTGGCGCAAACTAAAAAACAGCATTTTTATTAGAAAAATTGATAACAAGGGAACATTTTAGATTTTTTTATAAATACATGCGTTTTCTTCATCCATTTTCCTGTTTAATGATACAAAATCAAAATAAAATTCACAAAAGAATCAATTTGCTTGATAACAATTTCGTTGTTTGTGTACAAAACATAACAAAACAGCTGATTAAATATCAGCTGATGGCACAAGAAAATTCTTACTGAGTAAATTTTCCTTGTAAGAATTTGCAAATACTCAGTAATACAACTGTCAAATCTGCCCTCTCAATTCACTCTCTTTTACTGGACTTTTGGGTAAACGAACAACATTTTGTAATAATTTGTACAAATTCGTACAAATTATTGAGTAAACGAACGAACCTTATGTTTCAGAATGAAACATTTGGACCATAATTCACAATAATGGATTTTGACAGCAATCTTAAGAGGCAGCTGACATCCAGCTGGTCTCTCTGGGCCACCTTATTTATTGGCCTTGATTTGGACGGTATTTTCATAATGTAAAGTCTATTCAAAATAATGCAATTTGACAGCAAACTTGAGCAGCATCTGATTTGCAGCTGGTCTCCCTGGATAACATAAATGGACCATGATTTTGATTTAAATAAATTCTTCAAAATTCCGATAGAAGCCCCCCTTCTGTTATAGGGACGATGTAACAAAAAAGAGTATATTTTGCAAAAACTATTCTTATCCATAACGATCCGAATCTTACATCGAAAGTGCCATAAAATGGCGGTTGTACCAACACATAAATCTGTCTGCAAATCCATTCTGCTGTTTAAGTTAATTCATCTGACGTATTGGTATGACCTTTAACTTTTATTTCAAATGAAAATCACAATTACCACTAAACCTAACCTAAACATTAAATGATCCTAACACTTGTCCTTTCACAACTAAATAATTATAATAATACAATCAGTACTACTCCCAACTAATAACCACATTTATTTACATTATATACATACATACCCTCATATATTTACATTAAATTGCCACTAATCACAACTTTTTTTAATTCCATTTCCCCCCACCTTCGACCACACAACTAAACAGAAAAGAAATGTCTCTTCTCCAATTTGCAAAACCCGTAACCTATTCACTACAATATTCACCGGACAATCCTTTTCTAAAGAATATCGTTTGCGATGCTGCCAAGAGTCTCAACTTAACCTGTCAAGGATATCCTGATGCGGCAGCATTAGAATTTGCCATGGTCTCAAATAGCTATTTAGCCGGTGTACAATTCGATGATAGTTGGAGTAATTTAACCGATTACCCACAAAAATTTGCCTTTTCACTACGCTACCCCAGTGAATTGAGAACCGATGAATCAAATTTGGGTATGACATGGTTAACAATGAAACTGTTTATGCCATTGGATTTGAGCGGACCACGTAATCCAAGCGCAGCAGATGGTGGTTTACCCGTGGGTTATATACGTGAATCGTTTCTGCCCGTCCAGCATGCCATTTCAATGGCCTATGCAAAATTGGTAACACAACGAACAGATTTGCCCGAGGTGACAATGCAACGTTATCCCTATCCGGCATATATTTATGATCCCCTGCTGGAGGGTATGGCAAGTTTTGTACCATTGATCATATTGTTGAGTTTTATTTATCCCTGTTCGAATATTGTTAGGGTAAGTTGGATGGTGTGGTGTCTTCTTTGAGGTCTAGAAATAAACATTTCCCTTTGGCTTTTTCAGAACATTACTGCCGAAAAGGAGAAACAGCTGAAAGAAGTCATGAAAATCATGGGCCTGGATAATTGGCTACATTGGACCAGTTGGTTTTGTAAAAACTTTATTCTGTTGGCAATATCGGCTATACTCGTTACTATTATCATGAAGGTTCGTAGTTGAACGAAAAACAAACAATAACAGCCACAACAAGCTGGTGATTTGTCTTTATAAAGACCGGTGGCCTCAATGCACAGACCAATTGGTCTTCATACAACCCTATGGTCTTTATGTACATCTGTATATTAGCCATTTTGAAACTTTCACTAATAAATACGTTTAATTATTTTCAGATCGAATGGTCAAATGGTGTTGCCGTGCTAACACATGCCGATTGGTCTGTCCTGCTATTCTTCTTCCTGATCTATGTGATAACGAGTATCTGTTTCTGTTTCATGATGGCTACATTTTTCTCAAAAGCAAGCACTGCAGCCGCTGTTACTGGCTTGATCTGGTTCATTGCCTATATGCCCTTTTCGTTTATGTTCCAAACCTATGACGAATTGAGTTTGGGCACTAAATTAGGTTGGTGTTTGATCTCAAATACGGCCATGGGTTTGGGTTTAAAGCTAATTATGCTTTTTGAGGGCACGGGTGAGGGATTCCAATGGAGTAATCTCTTCGAACCGGTTAACATTGATGATGATTTGACTGTTGGCTATATCATTCTGATGATGTTGGCATCTTGTGTGTTATATATTGCAATTTGCCTCTATGTGGAACAGATATTCCCTGGCGATTTTGGTGTTCCCAAGAAATGGAACTTCATTTTCACACGCAGTTTTTGGTTTGGTGATCGTGAATATATTGGTGTTGAAGATATACCCGGCGGTCATGTGGAGCGTAAGAATCCCGATGCATTTGAACCAGAACCAGCTGGCAAACATATCGGCCTGCAAGTTAGAAACCTAAAGAAACGTTTTGGCGATAAAGAAGCTGTGCGCGGTGTATCTGTCAATATGTACGAAGATGAAATAACAGTGCTTTTGGGTCATAATGGTGCCGGTAAGACAACAACAATATCCATGCTGACGGGCATGTTCCCACCCACATCCGGTACGGCCATTATCAATGGCAGTGATATTCGCACAAATATTGAAGGTGCCCGCATGTCTTTGGGTATCTGTCCGCAACACAACGTGCTCTTCGATGATCTGTCTGTGGCCGATCACTTGATTTTCTTTAGTCGTTTGAAGGGTTTGAAGGGTGATGCCATAACGCAGGAAGTAAATAAATATATTCGCATGATTGAATTGGAAGATAAGGCAAATGTGGCCTCCAGCAAGCTGTCGGGCGGTATGAAACGTAAGCTATCAGTTTGTTGTGCACTTACCGGTAATACGAAAGTCGTATTGTGTGATGAACCTTCATCGGGTATGGATCCATCGGCTAGACGTCAATTATGGGATTTGCTGCAATCGGAAAAAGTTGGCCGCACCGTGCTGTTGACAACGCATTTTATGGACGAAGCAGATGTTTTGGGTGATCGTATTGCCATTATGTGTGGCGGTGAATTGAAGTGTCATGGCACATCGTTTTTCTTGAAAAAGAAATATGGTTCGGGTTATAAATTGGTAAGTAGCCGGTGGAGAAAATTAAAAGAATTTAGAACGGAAATTTTTTAGAGGTAAAAAAGTAGACCATTGGGGACAGATGAATTCCTCTTAAATTCATCTGTCCCCACTGCTATAGAAACCGATCGCATTGTAGTCCTTGAAAAGTTCGTCTAATAATGGACTAGATCATTTGATTTCCTACTAGAATTAGATAAAGCCCTTATGGATCCAACTATTATAGGTATGTCAAAAAAGAATGGGTGGGTGGAAGTCACTTAAGTTCCTGCTGTTGTGGGAGATGGTAATTTGGGATCCAATGGAACTCGATAAGTATTAAAGGATATTATAAAATATTCTGGTACATAAGGGGAACATAAAATAAGTTTATTAGGTTGGCGAGTAGTAGAGGATGATGTATTTGATATTATTAGTTCCACAGTTAAAATGCGCTACTGAAAAAATATGCTAATCTAAGAGAAGCTATTAAGGAGGAAAATCAGATATGAGGTCCGAATGCTGCTCTATTAAAATTATCTACATCGATATATCCCCCACTTAACATAAACCTCATTTTCGGTTATTAGGATATCGAAATTTAAAAATATTCCCCCATGATTAGATATAGAGCTCCAATAACGCAATTATTTTTAAACCAATATTCTTTATTTAATTACCATTCCATTACCTCTTTATAGATCTGTGTAAAACGTGACGGTTGTAAAAGTGAAGAACTTACAGCTCTACTGCAAAAATATGTACCCAATATACAACCTGTTGCCGATATTGGTGCGGAATTGTCATATGAATTGCCCGATAAATATTCACATATTTTTGAAGAAATGTTTAGAGATTTGGAAAATAGTTCAGATGATCTGAAGTTAAATGGTTATGGTATCGGTATAACATCACTGGAAGAGGTATTTATGAAAGTGGGTGCAGAGGGTAATGCTGCAACCAATAGCGAAACGAATAATAAACAAATTGCGAATAATGGTATGAATGGTGCCGCTCCCACTGCCTATCCTGAAGATGATGTCGAATCAATAACATGTAAGTTAATGGATTCAAGTGATATAACCTAAAATAATATTTTTTTTCTCTCTCTTTTAGCCGACAGTTTATTCTCGGAAAACACCCGCCTACTCAAGGGCGTTAATTTACTGCGCAACCAATGGGATGCCATGATCTTGAAAAAAGTTCTCCATACATGGCGAAACAAATTACTGTTCATCATACAAAATCTTATGCCAATATTTTTTGTAGTTATGACAATTATAATCACCCGAACACAGGGTACATTCAGGCCATTGGAACCGATGACAATGAGCCTGACTCAGTATCCTGTGGCTGTTACTGTTCTAGATACAGCTCCCGATGTTGTTCCCGGTTCACTTTTGGCAAAAATTGCCGGTGCCTATAAAACGGTAGCAACATCGTACGGTAGCGATTATGAATTGGAATTAACCGGCAACAAAAATTTTACCGAATACATTTTGGATTTGGGTCGCAGCATACAAGTGAGAATCAATTCAAGATATTTGGCATCCGCATCGATACGAGGAAATAACTCAATTGTCGCATGGTTAAATAATCAGCCGCTGCATACGGCACCATTGACGGCGAATTTGGTACACAATGCCATTATAAAGTAAGTTAATACCGCGACCGACTAAGAAAAGCACTCGCAAGACATGGCGGGAGAATTTTTGGGAAGATAATTTTTAGTGAATGGTTATGGTGGTTGGTTATTGTCTTTTTGAAAATTCTGAAATGTATTTCGTTGTGAAAACTGTGTATCCATGTGACAGTGGTGTCCGAATTTGGGACACCAGCACTACAGTTACACATACACAGCACAAACACATAAACTCTAACTTTAATTTTTAAAATTTTATTGGGAATTTATTCAAATGCTGAGAAATACTTACAACAACAGTCAACACTAGTTAGATCTGGTTACATAACCATATAGTATCGTAGGAACTTTTCATAGATTACTCTATCATAAAATATGTTTCTATGAGGTATGACTTGAGGTCATACGTCGTTATTTTGCATTTAGATATCTTTTTGATTCTAAAGGTTTAACGAAAATGGATTACATGTTTGGAAGTAGCTCAAAAGAACCCAAACTAATTCAGCAGAATCTCTAGAAATCATTAAAATATTTCTTTAGTGCATATTAGGACTTCGAAAAAATAGGAGACTAAGTTTTAAGACCAATTAATAGAGTCTCACAATAGTTTCTAATATTATAGGAGAATTTCACTAGACATCAGATTAGTATGAGATGTGCTCCAAGGAATACCTAAGAGATAAAATAGGGCAATCTCCCAGTATATCCTGCTATAGGGGAAAAACAGCTGTGAAGAAAAAAAACTATTAGTGTTTCATAAAGTACATTAGAGGTATATTATAATTCTGGAGATCCTTCATAGATGTCCGATTAATATAAAAAGATTGTTTTCAGAGTATAGAAGGGTCCAAATATGCACAAATAGTATATTATGAAGTGCTTACCAGATGTCCTAATTATCACAGTAGAATTCATAACAGCTTCGAATAATTTGGAAGAGATCTCAACTAGTTCGAATAGTTACGGACATTTAATTCCCGGTGTCTGAGTATAATATATAGATAACAATACCCAACACTTCTGTATTCCATTGGAAATATTGCTCAAGATCCAATGTAACCAATCTATTATAAAACAATATCTCTTCCCCAATTCCGCCCACTCTCTTCGTTACACATTAAACATATATGCCATTTTATAATTTCGCACCCATTTTTCATTTTTCTCTCTCGATCTTTCTCTCCTCATTTGTAGAGCTGCCATGAATGAGTCCTATGAAATTACCGTTACAAATGCCCCCCTACCCTATACCACAGAAACGGTATTGAAACAATTGAATGTCGGCAATAATCTGGGTACACAGTTATCGACGAATTTATGTTTCTGTTTTTGTTTTGTGAGTGCTTTCTATATTTTGTTCCTGATCAAAGAACGTGAATCACGTTCCAAGTTATTGCAATTTGTGGGCGGTGTTAATGTTTGGGTATTCTGGATATCACAATTCCTATGGGATATTATGACGTTTACACTGACAGCGTTAATTGTGGTCTTTACGATAGCATGCTTCCAGGAAGATGGCTTTTCGACATTTTCAGATTTGGGTAAGGTTTTCTTATCGAACTATAACCAGAATAATAAATTTCAAACATGCTTTTGTTTCTATTTCCTTATACAGCACGCTATTTCTTAGTTATACTTATCTTCGGATTTTCGGTGCTTCCATTTACATACCTGATGTCACTGTTCTTCGCGGAGCCATCTTCTGGTTTTGGCAAAATTTCAATTATCAACATATTCTGTGGCATGGCTCTGTTTATTGCGGTGGCTGTAATGTCCATTGACTATTTGGGTACCAAAGACACGGCCGATCTGTTGGGATGGATCTTCAGAGTATTTCCGCACTTCTCCTTAGCCTTGGGTCTTAATAAGCTATATGTTAATGTGGCCACACGTGAGGCTTGCAGTAATCCTGTTATTTCCATTCTACCCGATGCCCTGCGTTGTCAACTTGTGCCGAAATGCTGTTGTAAGTATTCAATAAATCGTCATTTATTTTAAATCGGTCATTAAGATTATTTTTTTTGCCCTTTCAGACACAACTCCCTATTTCGCTTGGAAAGAACCCGGTATTTTGCCCGAAACTGTTTATTTAGTTGCCACATTTGTGGTGTTCTTTACGATATTGATCTGCCGCGAATATGGTATTTTGAATGAGTTGATCTACAAATGGAAACAAAGGAATTTGTAAGTATTGACTGAAACTATATATTTGTTAAAGATTTGAATAGTAATTTTTTTAAATTTGTTATAGCAAACCAACACCCCCTGCTGAAGATGCCTACCATGATGACGATGTTGAAGCGGAGAAGGAGAAAATCCTCAGAATGTCACAGTCGGAATTACAAAGCCAAAATTTGGTATTGGATCGCGTTACGAAATATTATGACAGCTTTTTGGCTGTCAATCAAATTTCGCTGTGTGTTAAACCGTAAGTTTAAATTCTCAAAATATTCCTTTATAACCCCCAAGCAGACGATTGAAAATTCCTGACAAATAGCCTTAAAAAAATTCTCTTATAATTGTGATGATGCCTGAAAAATAGTTCTTTAAAATCCACACTTCCTTAAGCAAACAAATGTATCATTTTGTTCTATACCCTCTATCAGGTGGTGTGCATTCAAAATTAATTGAGTTTGAAAAAAATCTACGCCTTTTATTGTGATGATTCCTTGAGAAAATATTCTTAAAAAATCCACCCCTTTTATTTCGATGATTCCTTGAGAAAATATTCTTAAAAAATCACGCCTAAAAATGCATGCCTTTATTTTCGGTGATTCCTTGAGAAAATATTCGTTAAAAATTCACGCCTAAAAATGCATGCCTTTATTTTCGGTGATTCCTTGAGAAAATATTCGTTAAAAATCCACGCCTTATTTATGTGTAAGGATCCAAAAAAATATTTTTATTATTTATTTAATTCCGAGCTTGAAATCCACTGGTTCCTGAAGTAGTAGCGTTAGGCTCTGCCTCACCGAGCTTCAGACATTTTTTTTGTTATTCTTTTAAATTAATTGCCACTTCTTTCTCTCCTCCAACAGAGTTGAATGCTTCGGTTTGCTCGGTGTAAATGGTGCCGGCAAAACGACCACCTTTAAAATGATGACCGGTGACGAACGCATCACCAGCGGCACAGCCTATGTTAAAGGTATGAATTTGGCTGCGGATGTCAACAAGATATACAAAGAAATTGGCTACTGTCCACAATTCGATGCCCTACTAGACGACTTGACGGGTCGTGAAACTTTACGGATATTCTGTTTACTGCGTGGTGTACAACGTGATCGCATCGATTACATTTCCCTAGAATTGGCAAAATCATTTGGTTTTATGAAACATTTAGATAAGCCGACAAAAGCCTATAGTGGTGGTAATAAACGTAAATTAAGTACGGCCTTGGCTGTTATTGGTAGTCCGTCGGTTATCTATTTGGATGAACCCACCAGCGGTATGGATCCGGCAGCCAGACGGCAGTTGTGGAATATGGTTTGTCGTATTCGTGATTCGGGTAAATCGATTATTCTCACATCACATAGTATGGAAGAATGTGAGGCATTGTGTACCCGTCTGGCCATTATGGTTAACGGTGAATTCAAGTGTATTGGTTCGACACAACATTTGAAGAATAAATTCTCCAAGGGTTTGATTTTGAAGATTAAAGTTAAACGTAACACTGATGCTGTGAAATCCGGAAGGTAAATTCTTTTTCATTTGTATAATTCGAATAATTAACTAATTTTGATTTTATAAATTTTACAGAAACAGTGTCAGCTTGGCCATTGAAAGTACCGCAGCTCATATTCGTGAACAAGACATTGAAACAGTTAAGAGTTTCATTGAAACCGAATTTCCGCAATCCATTTTACAGTACGTCTATATATAACATGTTTTGTTTAATTTCAATATTAACTATTTTTTGCTCTTCTTCTCCAGGGAAAATTACATGGGTATTCTTACCTTCTACATTCCATTGTCCAGTATTAAATGGTCGCAAATATTCGGCCTTATGGAAAGTAATCGGGATCGTTTGAACATTGAAGATTATTCAATATCACAGACAACATTGGAAGAGATTTTCTTAGAGTTTGCCAAATATCAGCGTGAAGATAGCCGTCAAACAGCCAAGTGAGCATGATGTTTTTGTTAACATTGGTAACACACACACACACTGCACACACCCAAACACACAGAAATCCACACACATGCAACACACCAAAACTAAAAATATTGACCAAATTGGTTACACGATATATGTAAAATAAAAACAAACCTTCACAACGATTTTATAATAATTTGCATTCTAGAATATAACACAATTTAATTTATATAATGTATACATATATAGACATACATACACAAACATATATACGCTTTTTTCCCCTCTGGTGATTATTATAAATATAAGTTAGTGCTAGATTATCTATTTATATTTTGGTAGCATTAATTTATTATTAAAATGCTTTTTTAAATGGTATTTATTATTAAATATTGTTTTTAAATTTAATACACGCACATACACAAACGTAAATAATATTTAATATTTTTTATTTGAAATTGGTTGTTATGGAATAATTGGCTGTTATTTTTTTGCATTGGAAAATTGGTTATTATTTCATTTTTAATTTAAAGCATCATCACTATCTTCACCTAGATAAATGTATTTATCTTTCTATCGCTGAGAAACTTCATACATTATAGGAAAAACTTGTCTTTAATAATATCACTAGGTCTTCGATAAGACGATTTGGTATTCTATAAGATCATTTGGTATTCAATAAGAATATTTGGTCTTCTGATTACTTTTTTTCTTGAATTGGAGTAAAGTCTCATATGTAGATTTCATTTACAACACTAACCACACTTTTAACCTCACATATTAGTTGTAAATAAATAAAAAATAACTATGGATAATAAGGACCGTAACATTGATTGTAAAAGTAGAATATATTCATGGCCTAAAACATTATTGAATATGAATGTGTAACCAAATTTAACGGGAGATGTTGGTTAATATACTATTCGCTTTCTTGTGGAATTTGCAAGACATATACAAACCTTGGTAATATTTACAACCATTTCTAATGACATTCTAAAGCTGTTGTAATATATTTGGCTGTCACTAATTCGTTGTGGTATTTTAATTTCGTTATTTTCTGAGATTGTTGAATTCAAAATATTTTGATTCGTTTTGTTATTTTTTTTTTCTTTTCTTTCAGAAGTTATTTTTTCAGATTAATAAACAATTAATTGGAACATCTTTTCTAATATTTGTTACTTAAAAGTTATTTTATTTACAACAATATTACAACAAATCGATATCTAAATTCATCATTGATAATATATAACCTGGTAAATAATTAGGTGATGTTAGAATTTATTATTAAAATTAAAGTATTTGTTATTTATATTAATTAATTTTCCTTAAGGGGACCTGACCCCCTCCCCAATAGTTCGTTCACGTGATATTATAAAATTACTTTTCAGGAAAATGTTGACCATTTTGTGTGGGAGGTAATAGAAGTGGTGGACCGATGGGTACCATCTTCGTATTTGATTTCCGTTTAAAATAAATATTACGATGTGCGCATTTCGCATCAAATCGGAAATTCCATACGATTATATTTGGACTAACAAATTTTCAAAATCTTGATTTTTTTAGGGGAGGTACCAGAAGAAGTGAACCGATAAGTCCCATCTTCAAATATTTTATATGTTTGGTTAAAGTTTTAGGTTGTGCAAAGTTTGGTTTAAATTGGATGCTCTGTTCGCAAGATATTATCTAATTTATTTTCAGTAAAATGTTGACTTTTGTCAACAGTGCTTTGAGCTTGAAATATTACGATGTAAATCGACACAAAATTGCCAGAAAATGATTTGGTCAAAAGAAGCATAGGGTCTAAAACTAACCCTCATGAGCCGCAAGGCTTAAATGAAATAAAATTCGATTCAGTAGTACCTGAAAAAATATTCAAGAAAAAAATCAATTCCGTGTGTACAGCACTAAAATCTTGAACCAGCCGGGACCACCAAAATCTGTAATGATGGTAGAAGAAAATTCCTATATGGGGTTTGTATTGTTAGCTAAGGTTTTTGTTTAGACCCGTTTTAATTTTGTCAATTTTCAATAGAAAATGGTAAGCTTTTTAAATACCATAACATGCATACCATTTTGTATGAACATACAATTGGTTCATTTTTAAGACTTTGACTTTGAGAGACAAGTCATCCAATCCTAACGGGATTTCAAGAATATTTGTTTATTATTCTTTTGACTATATTTCTGTCATCTATTGTTGGTCGAATTATTCGAAAATTAATGTGTCTTTGACAGATGTGCCATTTTGAGTATGATGTTGTTATTTTTTTTTTAATTTTATATCAAAGCAAAATTTGTAGGTCTTATTAAAGGGGTAAAACATTTCTCAACGGTGAAAATCAATGTTTTGAGTAGTTCACGATATAATCGTACGACCAACTTAAAACCGGGTTTAAACAACAACCTTAGCTAATAGTTCAAAACCCAGCTAGGGTTTTCTTTTTTTCCTTTCAGATTTTGGCGGTCCCGATTTTCATCGGTCCTCTATTAGTAAATAAAAAATCTTAGTGAATAAAAAACTCTTCCATTAAATTCAGTTATGTTTTCTTGTATTTTGCTGATAGACATAAAAACTACAATATTTCGTCAATCCAATAGTGAAAATGTGTAACGCCTAAAAGTATGCTCATAATTATGCTAACTGACATGGAAACACAAAACAAACTATCTGGCAACACACCTAATTTTTTCTGTTTCTATTGAATTGCAAATTCTACAGTTTTCTCATTTGCCGTATTAGGCAAACAGAATCGTGTAGCAGCTATATTTTGACACATGATCGATTTCAAATGGCCATAACTCGGCGATAAATGGAGATATTTGAATGAAACTTTCACTACTGGATAGGGGAAGTGATGCAGTTTTTATGTGTATCAAAAATTAAATCAGTTTTTTTTAATTTTTTACTAAAAATACCACAGTTGGATTTTTTAATTGTAATTTTTATGTGTCGAGATTTTTTAAGGAATATTTATCCAATATTCAAAGAGAATTAAATAGATTAATTAATGAATATTACTTCAACTAGTAATAGAGCGTATATTTTTTAAAGAATATATTTTTTCAAGTACCAATAGAGCGTGATAGAAAATGTTTTTAAGTACTAATAGTAGGGGCAGCGACACTGTGGTACAGGGTATTATGTCTTTGTGCATATGTTTGTAACAGGCAAAAGGAAACGAGATAGACACATGGATCCTTTTGAGAATATGCATAGAATCACTTTTTAAGTCGATTTATGTATGTCCGTCCGTCCGTCTGTCTGTCCATGTTAAATTGTAAACAAAGTACAGGTCGCATTTATGATCCGAATTGGATGAAATTTGGCATAGGTCACTTATTCGGCCTAAGGACGAACCGTATTGAAATTGGGAAAAATCGGTTCAAATTTAGATATAGCTCCCATATATATTTAACCGATTTAATGTAAACGGTCCCTATATATCTTTCGATTTGCACGAAATTTGGTACAGCCTAATCATTTACGTCTAGAATGATGTCTGCCAAGTTTCATGAAAATCGGTCCAGATTTAGATATAGCTCCCATATATAGTTTCGTCCGATTTCATGTAAATGGTGCACCAAAGTCCACATATATCTTTCGATTTGCACGAAATTTGGTACAGCCTAATCATTTAGGTCTAGAATGATGTCTGCCAAGTTTCGTGAAAATCGGTCCAGATTTAGATATAGCTCCCATATATAGTTTCGTCCGATGTCATGTAAATGGTGCATCAAAAGTCCCTATATATCTTTCGATTTGCACCAATTTTGGCATAACGTACTGAATTGAGCCTAGAATTATGTCTGCCAAGTTTCGTGAAAATCGGTTCAGATTTAGATATAGCTCCCATATATAGTTTCGTCCGATTTCATGTAAATGGTGCACCAAAGCCCCTATATATCTTTCGATTGGCACGAAATTTGGCATAACGTACTGAATTGAGCCTAGATGTCTGCCAAGTTTAGAGAAAATCGGTCTATATAGCTCCCATATATATTTCATGTTAATAGTCCTGTTTAATATACCCATAGTGGTGAAGGGTATCATATAGTCGGCCCCGTCCGACTTTACTGCTTTCCTTACTGGTTCATGTATGGAACTGGTGGGGATTTTGTAAAATTATTTTTTTTTTAATACCAAATGAGTGGGGATTATTTGCAGAAAGTTTTTTTTTTTTTTTAATAACAATAGAGTGTGTATTTTTTATTTATCAAGGCCTAATATGAAGCGTGGATTTTTAAAGGTCTCCAAGTAACCAATCGGTGTTTTTTTTGTGAACATTGATTGATTGAAAATATGTTGATAATCCAATAAAAAATCGGACATTCGATTTGATACAAAATACACATTTCTTTTAAACTTTAGTCATTTTTTTTGGCGGGCTACTTTATATTAAAATCTGGGCGCACAAATCCAGATGAAAGAAAAATGGTGACCTGATAACTCATAACTTACCGTATTAGTTTGTATCCGTAATCAAAAACAAACAATATTGTTATTAAATTCTTTTTTCGTTTTTATTTAAAAGTCTTTATAAAAAATATATACACACATTAAAAATATAAAATATTAATTTTAATAAAAAACAATTTTCGTAACATTTTAGAGACAAAATAAGTCGGTCTCTATTGTATTGCAATCACACATTAAGAAATATAAAATATTAATTTTAATAAATAATAATTTTCTTAACAACGTAGACACCAGATAAGTCGGCCTTTATTGTACTGCAATCCTTCGTTGTAGAACTTTATGATCGAGAGAACAGGATAACTCCAAAAGATATAATAATCATTATAGGCGAATCTGTCATATTTTCAACTTATTTGTCGATCGTTCTCAATTGTCAACATAAATGAAATCCGTGAATATACAATTCACAACAGCCTGGAATGAAAAATAAAAGATAAATTAATATATATATATATATATATATATTGTAGTATTTGGCAACCCTGACAATGTCCCGTTGTCAGCGCCATCTATTAATGGAATGATGCTAATTAAAACATTTAATGACAATTTCGTTTTGACATTACTTTTGAACTCTAAAGTATATATTTTTATTATATTAAGACAAATAATCACATTCGTTTTATCCATTTACCTATTGGAATCATGTCTATCAATAGATGGAGCTGACGACAAGCCATTGACCTAATGCACCCTTTATGTAAAATAGGAGGAATATATATGTATATGTGGGAGCTATATCGAAATCTGAACCGATTTTTCCGAAACTTACCATACATTATTCTAGTCCTTATTCAGTACGCTTTGCCAATCCAAGGATATATAGAGACTTTGGTGAACTATTTATCTAAAATCGGACGAAAATATATATGGGAGCTATATCGAAATCTGAACCGATTTTCACGAAACGTAACACACATCACTCTAGATTTAATTTAGTACGTTATGCCAAATTTCGTGGATATCGAAGGATATATAGGGACTTTGGTACACCATTTAAATTAAATCGGACGAAAATATATGTGGGAGCTATATCTCAATCTAAACCGATTTTCCCAATTTCAATAGGGTTCGTCCTTGGGCCAAATAAATGAGTTGTGCCAAATATGTTTACAATTTACCTGTACTTTGTTTACAATTTAACATGGACAGACAGACGGACTAGCATAAATCGACTAAAAAAGTGATTCTATGCATATTCTCAAAAGGAAGCATGTGTATATCTCGTTTCCTTTTGCCTGTTATGCACAAAGACATAATATCCTGTACTACAGTGTGGTGAAGGGTATAAAAATATATGTATATTATTACGAACCCCTGAATATATTCCCAATAGCAGAAATTGAAACCGAATATTCTCAGCTATACACACCGGTTTGAATTTTCAAAATGTCCAAAGGTGTTCAAAAGTTATTAACGATCTACAATATGTGTGAGTTATTTGCAGTAGGGCAACCCTGGCAATTCGATGTCAGCGTCATCTAGAGATTGACATGATTCAAATTGGCAAATGCAAAAATGTAATGTTATTTATTTTTTACTGTACCTTTTGAACTAATAAAGGCATTTAAAAGATATGGGCGTGAAATGAAAGGTAAACATATTTTAAAATAAATATTTTTTTGAAAAATAAACAAAAAATTGACCATATAGTCATAAGGGTATAATTATATATAATTTATAC